CGAAGCCAAAGTCTCCTAATTTAAATCAACGAAAAGTAAGTAAATTTCAAGGGGAAAACTGCCGCTTTATCGATAGTATTTTTTTTAATTATCGCAATTAACGAATGATACGACTATCGATAGTTTTGCAGCTCCACTAGAAATATGAACCAGAAAGTGGTTAAAGTATGTAAAGAGCTCTGGCAAATACTGGCTCACATGTGCATGTATAGTATATTAACACCGCCGCGAGTGCCAATAACACGATAATGCTAATGATGTTAACTGATAGTTAACTGATGGCTGTGGCAACAATGCGCCCTTCGCAAGCTGCCAACTCACATTGATGCTATTAAACACAAACAGTTATAGAGGACAGGAAGTGAACATCATCATCTCAGTGCTTTTACACTTAATACGTGCGTGTTGCTTTTCTTTCTTTTGTATTTTGGTAATTAATTTCAGAGGCTTTATTATGTTTTGAGCTCTTCGAATAGCACTCCACCATTTGCCGTTGACAGAATAACAACTATGTGACTATGTAAAAGTGGCAACACCATGGCGATCTAACGCAAAAGCAAGCTTACGACACACATAACCAACTCTGCGGCTCCTGCCTGTGCGCGTGTCAATGGAGGTGGAGTCCCAATCCAGCGCACTGCTGAAGGCACACAAGCGTACACGTGTACTCAGGCGTACTTAGCGGGGTCGTTTGGGAGTTGTGTTTTCACGCCTCGGTCTCGAATGCTGTGCTAATGATTTTGTGTGCCGAGATTATTTACTCACATTTGACATGGGTTTGTGCCTTAGCGGCTTCACAGCTTCACGGGTATGTGAGTGCCAGTAATGCCTCTGCCTTTCAGGCTATTCATACATCCCAAGCGAGTCCTTATTCCCACTTATTCTCAATACACGAAATGTTGCACAATTTTTCGAAGTACTCACACACCCATTCAACTATTTATTGGGTAATTTTATTTGAAGACTTTAATAACAATTTAAATGGATTTTATGTGCGTGCTAATTAAAGCAAATCACTTAATTGGATTGGATGAATGTGCAGCATGCTGGTAGTTGTAACAATTTGTTTGCAGATAGTAAAATACTTATTATACATTTTGTTGTTCGAAAATGAGGATGTAAGACAATAGTTAGATTAAATGAATTTAATAGACCAGCAGGGAAAATGGTACCACAATAGTCAATCGAGTAAAAAGTTTGATGAGGAAACATCAAAATACGTAAACCTCTTAGGATGCTTGAGTTTCATGGATAACTGAGGTCTGAGTAAATGGTCTAGCAGTGGTCAGATGTAGCTACTTATCTATGGGACAATAACTATTTCTGTCTCGAAAAATGTATCAGTTGAAACCGCTTATTAGAAAATGTTCCAAAAATGAAGCTCATTCAGTCAGGTTCTTCTCCACCTCATCCCTCCAACGGAGTGGAGGTCAGCATCCTCCTCTGCTTACCCCGACGGATACTGTGTCGAATACTTTCAGAGCTGGAGTGTTTTCGTCCATACGTACGACATGACTTAGTCAGTGTTGCCAATGCGTAAGGAATCATAAATCTTCCGCAGAACGTTTTTCTCAAAAACACGTAACGTCGACTCATCAGATGTTGTCATCGTTCATGCCTCTGCTCTGCTCCATATAGTAGGATGGGAATATAGAGCAACTTTTGAGTTTGGCTTTTGTTCGTCGAGAGAGAACTTTACTACTCGAACCACCTCTCGCCAGGGTTGTGCGCTGGAAATGAAAAGTAAACAACAACCTCGGAACTACTTTCTGGTTGTTTGGCATAAAACTTAGAGACTTTAAATTGCATGATCTTATCGGCAATTTGAACGGACCATTTCTCGAAATTAAACATGAGCTAGCTCACAGTCTTGTTGGAAATAGAGATCGTCCGTGTCGATTTCATCAAATTCAAGAAGGAAAACAAAGTCGGTCAACAGCCGATCGGATGGTAACGGCTTTTCGTGCCTCTTTTCAAAAGAAATCAGGTCCGATATGCCGTCATACCACCATCCGTACCAAATGATCAATTTTGGGAGCGCAATTTCGTTTCTTGAACCACACGAGAATTTGACACACCCTAATAGTGCCAATTTCGTCTGTTGACGAAGCCATTAAGCCAGAAATGGGCCTCATCTAAAGACATGATTTTTAGAGCGAAGAGCTCTTACATCTTACAGTAGTCACCGACGTACGTGAATATGCATAATACTATCAAAATTTTACTCAAATCCTTGACCAAACATGGCCACAACAAGCTGACAAAATCACGTCATGCCTATAGAGGTAAACTCTGTACTTTCATTTTCATACGTGAAATCACCAAAGGCAGCAAATCAACGCATTACACAAAATCAGTCTGCAGTGTGGGCCGAGCAATCGTTTGGTAAACTCAATATTGTTTACATACGCCAACGAGACGCTATTATTATGCTAATGGGACGCTTTTAGGCGAAAAATTCGCAATTATGCAACAACGGCGAAAATTTTCATGAAAATCGTGGCAAACCGATGCGGACAGACAGCGGCTGTCACGCCTTTGCGCTGATAGGCAATTTGTTAGCAAATCACTGGCGCGCAGCAGCCGAACATATAGTCTACAGATAGGCGGTATATTCTTATATTTTCCTGCTACTTGAAACGGATACAAGACACAACGCGAAAAACAATGAGCAGCGCAGAAGAGGGGGCAAAATCAATATGACGAAACCGTCAAATTGGCCAAAGATTTGCAGCAATGACGCCTACGAAGGAAAGAGGAAGCGGAAATAGGAATTGGAAACGGGCAATCAAGCAAAGAGTCGCAAATTTTAGAAATAACAGGAAGACTTTATGAGTCATTCGGTTGCTACTTGTTTCGCTACAACTGACAATATCCATAAAATCACCACAATGAGGAATGACAACCAACTCATTTGAGCCACGACGATTGCCGCTGCCAAGCTAATACTAACACTCTTATGGTTTTTGTTGTAGCCGATTGCGACGAGGCAAGCTAATAAGCTTAAATGTGTTAGAATGATGGCAGCAAATATAAGTGCGCCCTAGCTTAGTGGGCTGTGACAGCAGCAAACGGGCCACGGGAAGAACGACAGGAAGGCGGCCTATAAAATTTACAAAATCAGTATACTTAAGAACGCCGATGGTAATCAAGCGGAAAATGTTTAAGTGAAATGAGACAACGCAGACGGCTCGGAAATCATAAAAAGGAAAACAAACGCACAAAATTGCCGCAGTTATATGGCTAACTGCCAAATACGATGGACAAATATAGCGCAACGCAGACAATTAAAGTAAGTCACCAAGCGCACACAACGACGCGACGATAATGATGAGCAAGTTGGGATTTTTTATCTCGTAGCCAAACAAAAAAAAAAAAAAAAACCAAATAATAATAATAAAATAAAAGGTCCACTCCTCCCTCCTTTTACATGCCTTTACTGAGGAAAAAGCGTCGTGAGGAGTGAAACGGAAGGCACGCGCTGCCAGAGGAAGCAACTAATGGCTTTACTGGCATGCGGACGTCGAGCAAATGGTCTAAATGAATGGAGCTCACCAATAGCCAAAACAATGGCCACTACAAGCGGCGCTTGATTGTATGTAGGTATTTGCGCATAAATCGCACAACGAAATTTCAAACAGTGATTCCCGCAAACGTTGCGCTGATAAGACACTGCAGCACAGCCGCCATAACAATGCAAGAAACGACGAGCCGATCACGGGCGTGTGAGCGTCTGAAACGCACAGATGCTGATAAGCATTCGTTTTAGCTTGACGGTTGGTGCAAGCGAAATGCGGGCACTAACGACCGACGCAAGTAATGCCGTTGTGGTGGCAACGGCATGAATTGCGGCTTTGATGGTGTCGCTGATTATAATGGCGCTTGTAGTGAACACGACGAAATTACGCTAACGCCCAGTCGATAGGCGCTGCGGGTGATTTTTCCCAACGTTGTTATTTCAAAGCGATGTGTATGTATGTACGCACGAAGACATGTACAGGGTTTGTGCGGAAAGTAATTGGACTGATTTTTTTCCGAGCGCGCACCAACTGGATTCGGTAGAGGGCGTCCCTATTTAACGAACGAGCGGCTGTTAAGTTGTTTCCGAGCACTTGGAGAGTCAGGACAGATATTTTTGCGAGACAGCAATTAGAGCAGAGGTACGCGATTAAATTCTGTGTGAATCTCGGTAAATCGGCGACAGATGGCCGGGAAAAGATCGCTGCTGAAGATCGTGCTCCAAAGTGAGAAAAACGATGTTCATTTTTTTTTTTTTTTTTTTTTGACATCAAAGCTATCGTCCACCATGAATTTGTTCCTCCTGTACAAACCGGCAACGCCAAGTTTTACGTGGAAATCCTTAAGATACTCAAACGTAGGGTCAATCGGGTCCGACATGACAACGTAGCCGATTGGAAGTTGCACCACAATAACGTCCCGGCTCACACCGCTTTTCTAGTGAACAGCTACGTAAGCACGGCCGGCATTCCAACGTTTCCGTAGTAGCCCTATATCCCAGATGTGGCCACTAGGGTTTTTTTTTTTCATCTTTTGTTTTCTTGCCTGAAAACGCCGCTGAAAGGCAAGCATTTGGAGACGACAGAGGGGATCCACGCAGCATGCAGCTCGGCTCTAAAGGTTATGCCAGAGAATGCCTTCAGTGACGCCTTCAATGCTTGGAAATCGCGCTGGCAGCGCTGAATCGACACAGAAGAAGCCTATGTTGAAAGTTTTTAAAGTATTGTTACGATTGGTTTAATATATTTTTTTGTAAATAACCGAAGTCCTATTACTTTCCGGACAAACCCTGTATGTATGAGTGTAGCGCTGTGTGTTGCCGCATTGGGGAAAATGCTGGAAACGGAAAGTCCCTAAAATCTACGAAAAATTACACAAACGCCGCTTATCACAAAAGCGTTGCAAACAATGGTGAACAGATAAGCGGCTATAAATGCCAGAACAACGACGGCATAACGTTCAGTAGCGCTGCCGCCCAAAAAGTGCGTTCAACAAAGCTAAAGTAGCGGCACAGTTCATTAGATGCGAAGCAGAGAAACCACCAAATATTTGTGACAAGTGGAATTCGAACTGGGAAAATACTTAAAATGCCTAGAATTGTTGCATTAGCAAATCTGTTGTTGTCGCTGATGCTGTTGGTCTACCTGGACATAATGCTGTTGGACGGTGCACGTGCAGGTATTTTAAGTATTTTTTTCGGCAAGTTTGCATATGCATAGGTCGCAGTTATTAAATTTTAGTTCAATAAAACCGCATGAAATTCAAACTAAACAAATATGCTTTGAAGTGAACCCGAAAGGGTCGCGTTGCTAAGCGCTTACCCACACCAATAACAATATAAACCTTTAGATTATTTCAGAAAAGCCTAGGTGGTACAGACGTATACTGGCGGAAAGAAGCCAGCATGTGCGCTTGTATACGTTATTTTGACGCAAATTCCACCGACGCATATCAGAGGCATCACTTATGGACAGCCAAACGAACAAGCATACAGCAACCGAGCAATTTTTCACATGACAAATGCTCAGGGCGAAATTCGTGCGTTCATGTCAAATTCCAACTATATTTTTCTTTATTCCACCTATACCACTAGCTTTTAGCAGTTAGTCCACTGATTGGGCGCTGCTTGTTTGGTGGCCGCACTCGCGACATACGCTTTTTTTACCCACAACTTCAATTTCAAAACAAAGTTCGTATTCAATTTACCGGCTGTCAGATTGTGTACATCAATCTTCGCTAAAGTTGGAATTTTTGGTTTCGTCGGTGCGTTTTAATAAAGATTTTTTTACTCGGCTGAGCGGCGTAGGCAAATGCGCAGCAAGCGAATGCCCACACACATATGTAGAGAGAAATTGCTTCGAAATTTGAAAATTTTAATTTTTTAGTGAAACAATTGTGATTTCTGAAAAAAAAAAGCCACAATTATATCATTCGTAGCGCTGTCAATGCTAAGCAAAATACTTTAATTTTATGCTTTTCAGTTGTCGCTTTCAATGTAAAATTTGCATTTATTAGTCAAATAGCCATCCTATAGCCAGCATTTAAGCCTTGATCATTATGTCACTCATGCTCTCACTTAAGTCACACTGCCACACTAGACTCGAGTAACCAAGTTTTTCTCACATTTTTCGGCAGCTCCAACCGCAGCCAACGGCACGAAGTCATCATCAGCCTTACTAAATCCCAACGCCGAAAGCACAAGTACTCACATAGTAAGTAGCGGTGCCGACAGCAGCAACAAAGCAAAATTGAATTTGAAATGGACGTCACGCAGCGCCTGGCAGGCGGCGCCCCCGCTACACACACCAACGCACACAACTCTGCCGGGTGGCGTTTCCTATGTGATCATTCATCACACTGCCACGCCAGCAAGCGCTTGTCGACGCAATGCCAACGCCTGTGCAGCCACCGTACGCGCCATACAGCGCAACCATCAGCAGCAGCGCGGTTGGGATGATGTCGGTTACAATTTCCTAATCGGTGGCAGCGACGAACGCGCCGAGATTTATGAAGGGCGCGGCTTCGATGTGGTGGGCGCACATGCTGTCGGCTATAATTCGCGCAGCGTGGGTATCGCGCTAATCGGTGACTGGACAGGTGAGTGATGAAATAACGTAGGGAAACGCATGATGAAAACAGTAGTGTTGGAAACTTTAAATTAACACGTAAGGAGGGGCTAAGTTCGGATGTAACCGCACATTTTATACACTTACAACTTGCAAAAATCAAAGCCAAGCAAATAAGTATCTTAAGATGTAAAACGTTAAACAGAAAATCGGAATCCAAGTAATTTTATATTTATTTGCACTGTGGTAGTACCAACCCGATTTTATCTATTATATAAACTATTATCTATATACTAAAATCCGCTTCCCTGGGTTCCATTAAGAAGATACCTGACATACAATCACCAATCATATGGAGTAAAGTCAGCTGGATGTTCCGAAATCCTAAAGTTAGTTATATGGGGGTTAGATCAAGCTTTCGCCCCATTTTATCTATTTTAGGCACAAAGATACACTATTCTGAGTAAAACACGCTATCTTATTTTTATTGAGTTATTTCAAATATTGGCCGACATATGCCGTATAAAATATCTTTCGTTATACAATATAAGATATATGGGGGCTTAGAGAACTATTTACCCGAATCCTTTGACGACAATAGTAACTCTGTATATCAAAACTTTCAACCCGGTTTCAACCCAGTTTTGATATACAGATTTACTATTATCGGGAAAGGATTCTCTCTGAAYTTCAGTGGTTATTACTTAGAGCAAAAAATTGTAAGACTTTGTTTATAATTTTAAAACACTTAATTTATTTTTCATTACCGTCATCCAAAAACCAAGAGCTTTCGGCCCATAATTCTGGCCTTTTTTCGAATAGCTTCGCACAAAAGACGCATAACACTCCAATAATATTCCTCATTGACAGTTTAACCCGTCGGAAGGAAATCGGAGTGCATTATACCTCGATAATCGACGAAAACTGTGAGCGTAACAATGTTTTTTGACCTGCTTTCAGATCACCTTCACTACGATCTGCGGCCGATTAATCGTATGTTCCCGGGTCGTAAGCATAGATCGAAAACTCATCGCCAGTAATAATAAGGTTCTTGACATCCTATTAGTCGGAAAGCATTGTCTGTAAAGCAGTGGTGCGCACGCCTCAATACTACTACATTTTACGTTTGCGCTGCACAAACATTGCTCTAGATTTTCGCTGCCGCTGTACGCTGAACAAATTTCTACTGTAATTTTATACTCTCACAACAAAGTTGCTAAAGAGAGTATTATAGTTTTGTGAAAGTGATCAGGGTGACGAGTAGAGTTGAAATCCGGATGTCTGTCTGTCCGTCCGTCCGTGCAAGCTGTAACTTGAGTAAAAATTGAGATATCACGATGAAACTTGGTACACGTATTTCCTGGCTCCATAAGAAGGTTAAGTTCGAAGATGGGCAAAATCGGCCCACTGCCACGCCCACAAAATGGCGAAAACCGAAARCCTATAAAGTGTCATAACTAAGCCATAAATAAAGATATTAAAATGAAATTTGGCACAAAGCATCGCATTAGGGAGGGGCATATTTGGACGTAATTTTTTTGGAAAAGTGGGTGTGGCCCCGCCCCCTACTAACTTTTTTGTACATATCTCGAAAACTACCGCAGCTATGTCAACCAAACTGTATAGTGTCGTTTCTTTTAGGCATTTCCATATACAGTTCAAAAATAGAAGAAATCGGATAATAACCACGCCCACCTCCCATACAAAGGTTCTGTTGAAAATCACTAAAAGTGCGTTAACCGACTAACAAAAAACGTCAGAAACAGTAAATCCAGGTTTTTTTTTTAAATTGAAAATGGGCGTGGCGTCTCCCACTTATGGACCAAAAACCATATCTCAGGAAGTACTCGACCGATTTCAATGAAATTCGGTATATAATAGTTTCTTAACACCCTGATGACATGTGCCAAATATGGGTGAAATCGGTTCACAACCACGCCYGAAATCTCGATTATCACTTTATCATGCGAGAGTATAAAATGTTCGGTGACACCCGAACTTAGCCCTTCCTTAGTTTTTTTTTTTGTTTTTTATTTACATTCAGAAAAAAAATTATTGGCAAATTTGGAAAAAATATCAGCAATGTTTATTGAATTCTTTTTGTGTAATACTTGAAAGTTTATAAAGTCGTTGACTAAATGGCTCGTTTCGATAATACATCATCAATATTGATTTCCCCTTTATACTCCTTAATACGTAGAAGATCGGTAAGATGTTGGTCAGAAAGCGTGTTTCTTTGCTTATTTTGAATTAATTTGAAAGTGGAAAATTTCTCTTCATTGTTTCAATAAAAAAATAATTTTCTGGCCATTCGCTTGAAAACATTTTAAAAATTCGAGGTGTTTCTGTCAGTGTATTTAAAAAAAATGCGCGATGCGCTGTTGCTTGCTCAACAGAAACTAAATGCCGATTCTTTGTGTTGACCTAGCGTACGTGTTCAGCCGCTTTCGTGTGCGTGTGATATTTTTCGCAGTAGCAGAATTATCAGTCAAACACGCGTGTTTGGATTTTTATTGCGTTGTTATTAAATGAGCGCCACTGCTGTAAAGTTAATTCGACCCTTTTTTCGAAAACATTGAGTGATTTTAGAGCCAATCGTGCTTTCAGTTTCCTTAAGCCCAAATGGTCTTTCAAAATAGTTTCACTGATCCTTCCGATATTCCAACGATGTGAGTAAGATCTCTGACTGTTAACCGTCGAATTTCAAGCACCAATTCTTTTATTTTAATATATAAGTTAAGCATTTTTTAAATAGCGGATTTTAGCGACGGCTATGGCTTCCTACAGAACTTTACAGCTCTTCGCAAAAACTCATTAATCGTGGTTTACATTTAAAAGATTGCGATGAAAAATACAGAATATTGTGAAAACATATTTTAATCACTTCAGATACAAGAAAGAAGTAGTGATATGTTAACACCTTATGTATAACCTACTTTATTTAATTTTTTCTTTTTTATTTTGATTTTCCATCTTCTGCTTCTTTTCGCTTTGCGCATCCCGTCAATCAGACGACCTACCGCCACTCCCTGTGCTGGAAAAATTGCAGCAGCTCATAACTTACGGCACACAAATGGGCCACATACAACGCGACTACGTGCTGCTCGGCCATCGCCAAGTGAAGTCAACAGACTGCCCGGGCAACCGGCTGTACAATACGCTGAAGGAATGGCCGCACTACAAGCAACATGCCGCTTAAGGATATACCATACAAATGTGGTAGCAAATAATGCGCAAGAAGACTGACGAAGACACGGACTAGCAGCGGCGATAATAAGCGGAAGTGAAATTATTGGCAGAAAACTGCGTATTGCAGAGGAGGACGCTGAATTTACATCTTTTAATTTAATTGGTATTTATTCTTTTACAACTTATTTATTGTGTGGGTAATGTAATGCGTTAAGTTTTAACAGTATTTGTGCAGAAGATTTGTAAATTCAGGCAATTTCGAAAATAAAATAATTTATCTTGAAGAGAGTGAGTAAGTCAAGCATTAATAGGTTAAGTTTGGTTTGAGGTTCTAAGTCCATTTGGACAGTTCCGTTTCGATTCAGGTCTTGCACAAAATCACGATGTWGGATACRCCARTTACCAGTCGAAATACTCAAGTRAGTCATCAAAAATTGAATTCAACGTATGAACCATCAGAGACGTAGCCGCCAACATTTTAAAGAGATACAATATAAATTTGCTAAGACGTTTAATTCCTATTTCCAACAGTTCGATAGAAAGTGAGCTCTCAAGTGTTATAAGCCTTGATCGCCAGAAGCAAGAAAGAACTGTTGAGATGTTTYCATTTCGTCTTCTTTACGAACCTTACAGCATACGRCAATGKCCTGTTAGAACCCCTACAACGCTAAAAMGGATCTTGCGATAGCGCATGGACTGATGGTAGCACAGCGCTGGCCAAGTTGCCGCGAAGCCCAGCTATCCAGTAGTAGAACACACGAGAAAACCCATTCCCATTCAAAACAGAAAAAATCTGGTCGAAACCAAGTACACTATGACGATATTTTACAAAAATATTACGAAATCGGCAATAACCCGATGGCCCACGATGAGAACGTTCGAATTTGAGAGTTTTTCCGAACATTGAACCACGATTATTTAACGACGACCTTTACATCACCAAACTATACGATCAATAGCATCAAACATTTGCAGAGGAATCTGTCGATGCCTTATTGCCATAAGTTCAAAGCGGAACCACACGTTTTCAGGTTATACGAGTATATCATCAGGTTACTGAACCTTTCAAACGGTACGAGCAAGATTATTAAAGACCTCGAGCAAAAMTTTGTACATTCGAAGCCGAACGTTTGTGGGTGGAGAACCTGAYTAAAGCAAAAACTAAAACTAACTAAGCAGTCTCCCTAACTTTAAAATCTAACTRYRTTACTGGCATAAGAAATTTCACACAAAAACCTTCGCAAACAAGTTGAACGATTCGAACATTCAATTTTCAATTCATGATTGCGAAGTTCATGAATCAAAAACTAACTAAAATTCGCTGCGTTTTCTGAAACAAAAAACTCTAAGCTTCATCGACTCAAATCGTTTTTCAGTCACTTATTTATTACGCCTAACTAAAAGTGTACTTCAATTGCCATCCAATAACCACAAACTTCTACTACACCCAATACCAGCCCCCAACACCTGCAATTTAGATTTTATTCAACTGTGAAACCAGTACCGGGCGGAGTGCTAAATCAAAAACAAACGAATTTGTGGCGTTTTATTTGGAAATACAGTACACTGGTAGCTCTGACTCGYATAYACCGTGCGAARGCCTGCCGCAAATTGTGCGCTTGACAGCGCTCTGCTAGAATTAGTGACCGAGTGCGTCGGGTTGCGCTGGAAGTACGCGGGATTTTGCGCCTACGGCGAGCTTAGTGAATCTGACATATTTCACGTGTCACGTGTGTACGCTACACACATCGATATCGTCGAAGGGAGCAACATATGAGTGTGGCATGGACGTAAGCCTTTTCAACTTATGTTGCAAATTTGTCAAATCCGCACTAAAGTGCGCCATTCGAACGCATTGTGTGGCTGTGTGTGTGAGTGTGCGTGTATGTACGCCTCACCTGAGGGTTTTCGAAATTCGATATTCAATTTGTGTGGTTGACGTTTGCGTCATTCTTGAAATCACAAATTAGTTCGCCTATTCTTTTCACGGAATTCAGTGTCAGACATTCAACGACGAAGGACTTTCTATACTTTATTGGGCTTCACAGTTTATATATGACTTTTTGGGGATGGTTCGAAACTAAATGTAGCAGCGCACACTGTTGTAAATTTCTCGTCAATAGAAGTGAAACTTATCAAAAAAAAAAACAAAAAAACAAAAAAAAAAAAAACTGTTGACTTGAATAGAATAAAAATGTTTAAAACGGAGCTTGAATAACTTCATATGAAACATGTGCGAATTTCTTCTTCTGGASTAGTGAAAAATTCGCCGAATTCTCACCAGATCGTGTTCGCCCAAAAAGAGAGTAACTTTTATACAATAAAATTTGCAATGGCTGCACTCAAAGTTGACATCTACCAAAATCAAAATTAATACTGCGTATTATAAAGATTGACCTTCGGGTAGCATATTGTGATAAAATGTTGTAAATAATTTGCAACGCTAAATTTACACATATGTYAAGACTTAGTTGAGTTCAAATATATTTAAGGGCAGTTGGACATTGAACATGTGTTTCCTGGCCTTTTCGATCTYCTTCTGTTGACTGTAGTTTGCTCAGTGYCAGAAAACTCAACGAATATAATATTGGCTTATTATCTGCCTTTTATATACAATTATTCTATTCGTTGTTGATCGTGAATCAAACTCCCTTCTTTTCATTTGCTTGTCTGGCTTGTCATTTTTGAAAGTAGTCTTTTTCGATTGAGTCTATTGTTCCACAATCCAATGGAGGTAAAATAATTAACAAAGTACACATACTTGTTCTTGCCCCCCACATCTTCTGTGARGAACAAACCCACTCGCTCCCCGCGACCAAATCCTTCGTACTTTGCTTTCACAGTTTCAYCTTTTCCTTGGTATATTTGGAACTTTTTAATTTAGMCATATTGATCCGACAAAYGCCACAATTTATAACCACACTTAATTGGTTTCATGGGACAATATGTGCGTTGGAGCTTCTGCCCTTGAAAAKAATCATAGATTCGTCAACTGATGATTCCTTAGTTCTGTGATCCAAACGATTGTTCAGAGCGTCAATCATAGGATGTATTTTGAATAGCCGATCTCTGTTGTTTTCTGGGATTTTGGAACTTATCATTTACAAAAAAATCTTAGTATTGAGTCGAATCTGTTGCGGGACATCGATTTGGCCGAGTACAGCCGGGTATTCACTCGTACTCCAGTAATGTCGCCAATTTGGATGTTGAGGAACTAACTTTTTTTGAAATCAAGTGCTTTGCTATTTTATACCGCATATAAATTTGAATTGAAAATGGTTCCTTCAACAATAGTTTCAATGTAAGACAAAAACTGTGATTTCTCGTTTGCTTCCTCAATTTTTTTCCCCCTATTTCCGCAATGGTTACTCAAGAACCGCGTTTTGAGSATTTTCCGACTCTGCTGTTTCTTCAGCCATGATTTCATTTAGAATGTCACGTGAAATTATAACTTCATCTTCTACATCACAAGACCCTATATCCGCGTATGACTCATTATCTATTGGAATTTCTTTTAAAATTAAAACAGTTTCATCTTTCTTCTAAGATTTGCCGCAAAAATTATACCTGATGTACTAAAARTTGTAWTTAATTGCGTATATGWAAATATGTATTGCATGGACCGACARAACCCAGAAGTAATTACARGTCTCCAAGAGAAAACCGATTGTTACTGTCAGACAAACGGGATGTAGATATTTCTAACTTTATAACTGTCATAGTAAGGCATGAAACTAAAATCTGCTTCTTAATTTGAGGAAAAATATTGAAAACTTTGCTGGAAATTATTTGAAGAAAACGACACTCTTAATGCGCGACTGCAGTACAGCAAACGTCGACTTGAAATGAGCACGTGGTGSGAAAATATAATGYATGTGCCAAAAAGTGAAGTGCTATATACTTTTTAGGTTATACTCAGAGTAACGTTAGTTCGCTATAATTTTAGCTATAAAATATACTTCCATTGCGTCGCACGACAAGGCGTTAATTATACAGTGTCTGATAACGATGTGATATCCATCCACCGCATTTTTTACGATTTGCGAAATATTTCTTTCAAAAGTTCAACAATTCACAATTTTCCTATAGAAATAATAACGGTATGACAATTATTGTTAGCTTGATTGTACTTCGGATTGCCATGATTTCCATTGATTGTGAGTGCCTAAATTAGCATTACTACACCACTTATTGATTGAGAATTAACTCACCATGAATGTTTTTTCATTAACTATAAGTTTTTCTTGAGTGGACTTCACTTTAGCTAGAGGTACTTGATAAAAACATGTTCACCTTGCCTTGCAAACAAGAAAGATGACTTTTAACGTAAATAATTGCATGGCACTAACACTTTCGCKCAGAGCTATTTGCACAGTTCAAGAGCAAAAGGGCAAAAGCTTCTTAAGCATTTTTGGGTATAAGGACGGTATTTTTTCGGCATAAGGAACGATTTTGTCAAATAGGCATGTGTGTATATATGTATATATTAACAYGTGGCATGATTAATTCGTGAGCAAGAGAAATAGAAAAATAAATTGCAATCAAATAACAACGAGTCGCCCTAGAAAAACGTTGMGATAAAAATACGCACGTACTTATTTGGACGTGTGCTCATTGGCACGTGTTGTCAAAGGAGATCGAAAAACGAGCGAGGAAAGATAAATACTTCAGTGAATTCGTGCTCACATACTCACACACGCACCGTTCTAATTTCGCTCAAGTTTAATTACAATAAAATTGATTTGATGAGGAAATGTTTGCCTGCATTGAACGACTCGGTTCGAAGTTGTTTTGCTGAAAGTAATTGCGTGCGTCCTTTACACCCGCTGAGAGCTGCCTAAATAAATTATTTCTAGTTGATTACCTAAGCAATGCTGACGACATTTAGTGAGGTGAGCGAGGGATTACCACAATGTACCAATATTCTATTAAATTGTGGAGAACACAGCACAGCTTTAAGGCGGTCAAATAGCGCAAATTACAAAACGAAAACTTAGTTCTTAGTTATTCCAGTTGCTGGAAACTGTTGTCAGTTCGTGGAGTGTTTCACAGGATCTGCCCGGCAACGAAAAACTAGTAGCTWCTATGTATGGTATAGATATTTTCCGAGTCGCATTGCATTATCTAAGGGACTACCAAGCTACTTCCACTCCTAGAATAATTTTATGCTGCAAGTTTCGTCAGCAAATGTAGCAATTTGAGAAGGTAGC